TTTTTTTTTTTTTTTTTTTTTTTTTTTTTTATCATACTTATGAAAAAAATATACTCTCAAGGTTATGCATTTTTTGCATTTAAAATATTGATAAAATTACACGTGTCGCTATTCAATTCAATTTCAGTAACAACAAATAAAAAAAAATTCACACGTTCTCTAGAAAATAAAATGTTAAACATGTACGTTGTATGGATCTATGTTTTCCCGGTTCATTGTTATGTCTTGTTAACATTTATTTACACTAGCTTACACTAAATCCAACTTTTGAGTTTTACACTTCCGAACGATAAAAACGTCGTCGTTTTTATTTATTTACGTATATAATCTTACTTTAAATTTTACCCGTTCAATAGTCGTGTAAATAACTTCCCCGTACATACTTTTGGAAACTAAAAGTCTGTTGCATCTTGTGTAAAAACTTAATTTATCAATGATTTTTTTTTTTACATACCTTTATGTAATTAAAACCTTTGTCCAATTTTTAATTATGATAAATGTGCAATCGTATCTATACGCTTAAAAGTTCATGCAACCATCATGTGTATTATTTGAATATCATATATTTTTGAAGATTTACTGATTGCCTACAAAGTGCATACATATTACTTATCTTATTTGTGCGTGGATTAAAAAAAAATCCTCATAAAGTACTAATAATGTAGCAGTATTTGTTTTATAATTAATTATCTAGTAACAGTAAAATAGTTTAGTAACCAGTTTTAACTTGAACTAGATATTATTTGTTTTTACGTTGAGATTTATGTGCTTTTGCAAATTGATACAACTATGGAGCTAACTAACCTGCAGCCATAAACTAAAAAAAATCTATAGTTATACATCTTATTACATTATTACTATTTATTAAGTCTTTATTAATACCAATTTTAATGATAAAATAACTAACATACGAGTATGTAGGTATCATAATTATTATATAATATTAAATATAAAGCTAAGAAAAACGATGATAGTTAATATTCCTAAACTATTTTATTATTGGAGTTTTAAAGTTTCAGAACTAAAAGAACTAACAAATAAAATACAAAATAATTAAAACAAAAAAAAAATTACTTATTAAAACAAAATGGTAAGATGATAGGTATAATTATAAAAATTTTCTTTTATTGACTATTATTGTTTTTTCCCCATAACATTTCATATGTTAATTCCATTAAATCTCGCTACTCCGAATCAGTCCATTCATCCTCATGGGACAATCTGTGTGTTATAAATAAAATACAGTTTTCTTTTTTCGTTAGGTTTTCGAATTAAATTTATATATGCATTATATTTATTTATTTATTTATATGCAGTGAAACTTGTCTAAATGAGGTCTCTTGGAAGCAACAAAAATATTACGTTCATACCTGTTTGGCTTTGGACATTTTTTTCACAATAAATATATTTATTTATTTATTAATGATTTAAATTTTATTTTCAGTCTGTTGATGCGACGGGAACGAAAAATAGTTCGCATGCGACCATACGGCATGTGTCCTCACTTTCAATCCAGACCGCCTGCGGATCACAGGCCACCGCATCAAGGATCGGGCAATGGCCATCCTAGGACCGACCCTAAACTGCTATTACTCGTTGAGACTGCATACTCGAGACTCGGCAGAGAACTGGCTGAGACCCTCGTGCATAATAGACTGAGGTGAGAGAAAAACCCGTTCGTACATAAATGAATACACTTGGGCAACTTTTCAAATCATTAATGTTTAGCGACCCTTAAAATAATCAAAAGAGAAATATTTTAAATTCTACTTCAAAAATATTACTATGTCCTGAACTCACTAATGTAGTTAATAGTAGATCATTCTTAATAAAAAAAGTTATTAACTTTGAGTTTGATAAAATTATAATCTAGTGGTAATGTAATTCTCATAACTACGTTATAATATAAGTTGTCTTTGAAACTTTACCGGCACTCACTTAGTACATAACAATCTCAACTTTCATCTAAGAATTTAGTAACCTATTTAAAGTAATCATTAATTTCATACTTCTAGCAATTAAGGAAACTCAAACAATAATTCAATTTAGTTTTACTTTAATGTTATTATTTGGCTTTCTTCTTTATTTCTACATGTGTCTCTATTCTATGTTGTATTTTTTAAAACTTTTTCGTAACTTAATCTCAAATATAATTCAAACTATATATATTCTATTTAGTATTAAAAAGCTGATGTTATTGATCTATTGGTTTATAAATAATTAGATTTATTAAGTACCTAACATGGTGACAAATTCTGATGTGCTATTTATATTATATATAAAATGAGCCATATTCTTGTAATTATATCACAATTATTATAATTGAACTAAACGAAACGTCTAAATTGTAATATTTTCAATCTTTTTTCTAAGTATTAATTTATTAATGAACGCATACAGTTAATTAGTTGTATTATATTGGTGCAAATACTTATGGTGATAGGGCCACTCCCTATCTGCTCATAAGTACTTGTATTTTTTAAATAATATCAAATGTTATAAAGTTATATTTATACATATTAATATGATTTGTAAACAAGATATGTATCTAATAGTTGTTGAACATTAATAGTGTGATGGTTAGTGCTTCTTAAATTCAGAAATATAATATACTTCGTTTAGATGTACTCAAAGAAAAAATCAAATAGCGACACTAGCCGTCGTTCATAGTAAACGATAAGTGCATTTTTCACTACTATTTATACTTCAGAGTTTATTTTTTAACTACGGCATTGTATAAACTCGTATATTATGATGAGACATCTCGTTTGAATAGTGCGTTGGTAGATATGACGTGTGTGTGTGTGTGTGTGTGTGTGTGTGTGTGTGTGTGTGTGTGTGTGTGTGAACGATATACTATTCTGATTCGGGCGGCAAATTAATCCTTTGGGTAATAATGAATAATGGACTTTGCTAGGCGAATTTTTTGGATTGCTCGCGCTCGCTGGTGCAGGTGTATATATATTTTAACAGTAACAATAATTATACCATGGAAAGCCGTAAAGCAAGAAAACACCGCGGCTGCTGCACAGTTAGTGTCTGCTAATAATTTTCGGAACATCAATCAAAATGTCGTCCTAACCTCTGCACGCGTTCCGTGCGCACCCCTGAAACGATCTACTAAGCCCTGAGCCGGAGACAGAAGAGACACGTGTGTTTAAACGGAGTTATAACTTTGGTTTTAACGTTGAACTTTGTTATGAAACTGTAAAAGTTTTATCGTCAGCGTGCGTATGCGCACGTACATGCACATCGACTTAGAGGTGCGCAGTAGTATACGCAGAAGACCAATAAAACGTCATAATATTATGTATCCAAGGATTTATTTGTCCACCGTACAGAATATTTTTCCGTTTACCGTTTTCCATGTAGGTGTGTAGGATATTGAGATCTAACCTTAAAAACGCTAAAGTTAGGAAATTCGGCAACCGGGTGAACGAAATAACATTGGTAATCTTTATGTAATTCATATATTCACTCACTCACTGATCGCTGCAATTCGAAAACAACCGAACGTATGAACGTTTAAAATTCGAGAGTTCCTATAATACTCTAAATGTACAATTAAAAATGGATTTTTTAGGAAATTTTTGTTATACATATATTTTTGTTTAAGATTTATATATTTTTTCAATATTTGGTTCCCTAGAAAATATTTTATTTTGTGTAATAATTTGTTAATTTTGATAACCAATTAAGGTATGTGTTCATACATTTAATGTAAATAAATAAAAATAAATATCAATTGTAATATACAACGATTTTGCGCTTTTTTCAACATTTTTTTAAGTTCAGAGGAATTTCTCTAAAATAGTAAAATATCTCCCGAATGAAAACTACTCGTTTATAACTAGTATATGCATATTATAAAATATGTTAAATACTATCATTATATTCACCTTTTTTTTTCGCTATTGAATAGTTGACGGCTCCGAAACTGTTTATCGCAATACTTATATAATACGATATAATTAACCTTAATTATAAATAGTTAAAAAAATAATTTTTAAATACCTATATTTTATCGTTGTTTAATATATATATATAGTATTAAACTATTAGTATTAGTACAAACTATAAATAGTGTAATAAGTTCAAGATTACAGTTCACTTAATTGCAGCATTTTTCGTATCGCAAGAAAATTTGAATCGACTATACCTAAAAAATACCATGTAAATCATGATAGTTTTATGCATTCTTACTCTTGCAACACACTAGCGTTATTTTACCGCACCATAATTTTATGCGCGTTTTGTTTAAGTACATTAAAATGAATAGAGCACAAAACACGAGTGTCGCACAGTAATATTATGGCGCGATATTTCAAAAACTGTCGCGTACACTTTGACTATATCGTACGTTAAAAATACCGCGCTATAGGTATTTTTTGTTAATATGATTGAATTAAATGAGCGGCCTCACATTGGCCGTAATAATCGCTCGACAGTCGAACAGTTTGTTATTTATCGTTGATTATAATAGTCGTGTTTGTGCTACTAGCCAAATTGCAATGTCAATCGATTTCAACATGTCCTCTCAACAGATGAAGAAATTCATATTCTTGAAGAAGATATTTTGGACGTTGATCTTTTGATAACATCAGTAGAGGAGAGGCCGTTGTTATGGGATTAGACGTTAGAATCATACTCGAACCGAAACGAGAAAAGAAAATGCTGGAAAGATATATTTTGCTTAATGAAACCGGGATTTGAAGAGCTGGATCTAAAGTGGATATCACGTCTGCTATGTTCTCGCACACTGAAGAATTTTTATTCAAAACGCAAAATATTGTGCGGTACCATAACGTTCGTGTGTTGGTCGATGTTTTTATCGCACGTTACATGCAGTAAAATGTTGCGCGGTAAAATAACGCTAGTATGTTGCCAACCTTAGTTATTACAAGAAAATAATGTTATTTCTTCCTGTGACATTCGGGATTCACGCATACTTACATAATATAACATTTAAAATGCATATCACCACTACATGATTCAGATGCATTTTTTCTACTCCTATGTATATTTATCATAATTTCTTCTTTTTACATTAACAGCTTACTATTATGATTTATAGCTACAAATTTAATCGTATACGCAAATATGCGTTTTAAAATTGATCCCGTTAATATGATTTTTTTTTTAACAAGAAGTATTGAAATCAATACTGCAAGTATATAATATTAAAATCAATCGTAACTCGTAAACGCTGATTTTTACGCGTCTATTGAATTGATAACCACTGCTGCTATTAATAATTTTACGATTACCCCAAATGCTTAATTTTAAATTTAATTAATTGTTTTGTTACAACACAATATTAAAAGTGTACAAATGTGTATTCTTCATACAGTCATAAGTAGTACTACACTGAAGTAAGTTGGTATGGAAAAGCTCTAAAAACCATTTTCACCGATACTAAACGGATGGTATGGATACGGAACGGTTTTGTGTGAATAGACCAAAATGTCAAAAGCGAAATGTTTTACCGGAAAAGTTGTTTGAAGTCCGTAATATTTATAAACGCGAGTACAAAGTGGACAACGGAAACAATTTCATAACAAACAATGAAAAACAGAACGCTATTCATTAATAGACACAATGACCAGGCAACGAATTGATAAGTGGATTACAATTATGGGGATTTTTTTTTATTCACGTGTTCACGTGTGCACTAGCATTTCCCCGTTTATTTACATATATATATATATATATATATGTGTGTGTGTGTGTGTCAACTACCTTAATATTTTACATTTTTAACAGAATTTCAATATTATTAATAGTAACGATGTATTCAATATGTATAAAATCCATATTTGACCTTTTTATTATTCATTTTCGGTGGAACGATTCCTGTAATATGTATAATTAATATCTATCATTTGAATTTTAATTAATATATGTTCTACAAAAATACGTATACATATTTTGTTTTCGGTAATTAATTACATATAAACATTTTAACAATACGCAATTTAAATATATATTATTAATAACATTACCAAAACATAACCAATTGAAATTCATAATAATAATACGGTCGCAGCACCACGTTGGTTGGTAATTTTATTTGTTTCGCTCAGATTAACATTTCAAACCGTCGTTTATCGTTTCGTCAGAAGTTATTAAAATAAAAAAAAATAAAAAAAATTAAAATTAAAAAGCACTTTGTTTTCGAGTATTTTAAATAACTCCCAAATGATGTAACATTATTTCTCGAAACAATAATTCGGCACCGTTTAAAGTTTACAAGTAGCGATTTTAATCAAAATGACTCGTGGAAACCTGCCTGGTAAAGAGGAGGCGACATCTGCGTAGTGTGATACAATAGCTGTATACATCAAATGTGCAGCGACCGTGTCTAATGTACACGAACTTCTTTTCCGCGACTGAAGTCTATACGTACCTATATATTATTTACATTTAATTTAATATGTTTTTTTTCCCCCCGAAAAAACTCCGCCGTCCGTTTAAACCGTCTCCATCCAGTAGACTCGGTAACCCGAGATCGCATGGAAGGCTACGCCACGTGAAACTTATTTCATTAAATCTGGAATTTGACTAACACGCGCGTGATTGTTATTAGATTTCCGTCGATACGAAAAGAGACGTATTCCGAGATAAAATGTGCGGTGAAAAAAAAAATTGAACATCATTATTATTATTACCGCTGCCGCCCCCGCCGTACATCCACTTAAAAACATACGTCGTCGTCGTTGTCGTTTAATTTATGTGCACTATACGAAAACCGTATGCATGTATGTGTCTGAATGCGTGCCGTTGAAATGAAATCAAAAACGTAATGCGAATCGTTTCATCATCACTTAAATATAACACACGTATAATATGTACGAGACGATATTTCTGCTCCGGACAAATGGGCATTACGGGGGCGCGTGACGTTATTTCGGTGATAAGTGATTTGGGAAAACGTGACGGCGCGTGAAACGGACCGGTCGACCGACGCCCCTACCCGCGCGCTCCCTAACTTCCCCGCTTTCGGACTGTCCTTGTCTTGGCATCGTCCTTGCAGCAGTCCTCTCCGTATTCCTTTTAACGTTCCCGTCGTCCACGGGGCCGCTGTCGCTGCACGAAACGATGAAACGGCACGGACCGCGTAGACAGAGCCGCGTTCAACGGGTTCAAGAGAGGGCAATTGCCCCGGGATGTCAAATTTTTAAAGATCAACATGAAATAAAATAACATATCGTTTTAATTTTTCTCGTATGATTGTAAATATAATGTAAACTATAATACATATTATTTCGTTCACAAATACTACGGAAAATCCGCAGTGTACCGCTGCAAGTCACAAAGTGATAAGGATTAAGAACATGCGCTGTAATCGTATAAACTATTTTCGTTATTCCTGTACGTTTTTTTTTCCTTAAAAATAGTATATCGTTTTATTTAATATCGGCAGTCGGCAGAGTGCACTGTTAGGTGTGTAAACATCTTTTCAGCGTGATAATTTTTTTTTTTTTTTTTGACAGTTAAAATATTGTTTTTCTTAAGGGCGGCATATTTTAATTTGCTTCGGGGCGGTAACATAGCTTAACGCGGCATCGACCACGTAGATAGTCTCTATCGTCGGTACCCGTGTTGAGAACGTACCGCCGTGGTCTGCCATCGTTATTACCGTTACCACGGACCCGTGTTCACACGCGCTTGTGTGCAAAACGCTGCGTATACGATTGGGAACTACCGAGAAAGGCGAAGAAAAATAATTTACCGCGGGACGGACGTGATAGCACGCAGGTGAAAGTATGTCCGTCATCACTATCAGCTGTCGCGCACGCACGAGATTGTGAACTGATGATTACTTACTGTCATATGGAGTTCGTGTACGCGAGAAAGAACCGCCATCACGAGAGCAGCGACTATAGTTATCATCGTGCGACCGCGACTTGCACGATACAATTAACCGTGCGACAGATCGTGCACCATTAGTATGATACGATTTCATAAACGATTGTCGTACACGAGTACGGTATTGTCGCAAGACGTCCAGAACGACGAGATAAAGTTTGAACGTGCACAAAATCTATCGTACAACAAGTTCGCCGTTCGACAAATCGTAACCTGTATGTGTGTGTGTGAGAGGGGGCGTACGATTTAACGCAATATTTTATTATATTTTCTCTTATTTTCATCAACATCCAATAACAATCCAACCATAATACTAAATTTCGTTTTTTTTTTCTCGAGACATTGAAACTATAACAAATAAATCAAATTAATTCTTTATTTATTGTTTCATTTAAAATTACACTTGTATTGATATTTGATATTTACGACTTATCGACGCGTTTTAATTATGTCGTGCCTACCTATATATTAAACTAATAGATTTGTGTGTATTGTACATATTTGACCGCAAATTCACAATGTTATTCCAAATGTATAACTGGCTGCGTGCTGCGATTCGAATACTGAACAGTGTTGTTGTTTTGGATTTCCCCTGAATACAGGGCAACCCTTTACTGATTTGCCGATTCGAAATTTTTTCACTCCGACTTTGTTATATGGAGGGTGATATTCAAGTATAAGGAAGACGTCTCGTCTAAAATATCTTATAAGTGCTAAATATAAAAAATTGTATAAAAAGTTTAAAGGGAATAAAACTGTCAAACAAATTAGTGTAATACTCCCACCAACGATTTACAACTCACATGACGATAAATAACAATGATTGTTCTACGGAATTTCAAAAATGTCACGCGCTAACTCCGCATTGCCGCATGTACGTACACGTTGTAGCGTAGTGTGTGTGAAAGTTATCAAACATTCGACCATGTCGGTTGCGATCTAGAACAAATAGATGTAATCATTTGGACGTAGCCTTTTGGTTGGAAAAATTATACATATATAAAACTAACTACAAGTTATCATAACTTATTTAATGTAAAATATATATACTATATTATATTAGTTCTGATTCGCTCTAGTTTTTTATACATTATAAAATCATAGGCAATTAAATGTCAAAATGTGAGTCAACATTCAGCTTTGTGGTCTTTTATCATCTGCGTAAGAAAAGTACAAACCGAACATCGCGATGTATTTTATAGCAAACTTGAAGCAGGTAAAAGTCTCCCAAAAAATTGTAATGTTAAAGAATTCACTGGTGCGTATAAACGAATTTTAAGAATTGTTCAAAGTTATGTACCTAGAACTAAAACATCTCATTGTCACGTGGAATAGCACAATATATTTCTCTTAATTAATATTATTTATACCTACAATTTTTAATTTTAGATACTTTTTTTAATAAATATAATCCAATCACAAATGTATTTTTATACAACTTTTTTGATACTTTATATAAGTGTTTAATTATTTTTTATTTTTAATGTCGATTTGTCCCGTACGTCCAAAAGGTCACGCCCAAACGTCCACGTCCAAATAGTTACGTCCATTTGTCCGTATTCGTGTCGATTGTTATCAATGGTTTTTAGATTTTTGAATTTATACCGAGTTTTACGTCAATGATTTACTAAGAACAAGATGTGTGTATATATTTTTCAAGTGTGTCGGTCTGAGGTTAAACTGAACACTGAGCCGGGGTAATAATTGCATGAATTGCCGTTTCCAAAGTGACGCCACTGTTGTCAAAAATAATAATACTCAAGGGTGGTGGGTACGAGTAAAGCGTAGGCAATAAGCTAAGCTAGGTTTTCGTGTTCCGTTGACGCCGCCCGCTCACCTTATATGTGGTTTTGACATTCAATTTTTGACTTCCCCGCCCCATCCCTCTGATCCTATTATTATGTACCTACTGCAAGTATGTTTAGGTATAAACCACTTGCCACAGAGGCCTGGTCGTCCGTTTTCCTCCTTTTTGTGCCGCGTATAACGTGTTATTACATTCGTTATTTTTACCACATATCTGTTCTATCTACCGTTTTTATTAGTATCGTAAAATAGGTGCACGCATTATGGACATTACGCGTATTACGTCCGCAGGTATACCTAACCTGCCGGTGGTTAACGCGCTGCGTGCACGTCCGACGACTGTGGGAGAATGCGGGTTATGTCCACGCGAAATCGCCGACAAAGCGAAACGGCCCTTTATGCTACATCCGCGGTTCTTGTTCAGGTTCCACCGAATAATAATAATAATAATAATAGCAACAATAATAATAATAACTGCGATAATAATTTTATATAATACGATAACTGTTTTTTTTTTTTTTTTGATTTTCTCCTGCACTCAGGTACAAAATGGAAGTAGTCGGCAAATCGTTACCGGCGCTCACGAATCTAGACAAAGGTCGGTATTCGGTCATCGTGTTTGAGAACTACTACCGATACCTGAACATGGACAAATGGAACCGAGAGCTGTTGGACAAGTATTGCCGAGAGTATGGGGTCGGCGTACTAGGATTCTTCCCGCCCGCCGACCGTCACGTGGTCGGCGTTCAAATCAAAGGGTTTCCGCTGTACATGCATACGAAACTCTCGCTCAGGGTACGTACTTATTATAGCACAGCACCACCGCTGCTGCACGTTTCTTGCGTGAAAAAAAAATAATGACACTATCGACAACAGCGAAAATCTCCGATCGTTTTATAAAACGGGGCTGCAAATTAGGTTAGATACATATTTGTATGCTTTTGCAACAATATCAAATTATAACTAGAAATTCGTATCGAAAATCAATAATAATTAAAAAATAAATAATGAACGAATATTATACTACTTAAAATTAAAAATGATTAACGATTCCCCTTCGAAATAATAAGTTTGAACGATTTTCCCGGTCATTAATAATTGCTCTAATTCCTTGTTGTGCTCTCAGTGAATTGTAGGATACGTCCTTTCACGAATAATATCTTCAGGTCTTGTTCCACTGGAATTTACTTTTTTTTTCATTTCCTATTCCATAATTATTTTTCAATTAATAGCTCCAAGGAGTTATCTATGTACATTTGTATTTTCAAAAATTGTAGGTTGAATGGGTATATCTTTTCTGCATACTGCGTATATAATTTGACGTATAATATGATTATTCGGCAACGACGGTTGACTTCTGCTGGAAACTGCATGAGTTTAAACTTATTATTTATTCTGACATGTCATTAGTTTCACAAATCTTTCGTTTAAAAGTTATGATCAGCCGTAATAAAAACTTTTCTATGAGTATTGGAGTTATGTTCTATTATAATTCGTAAATTATTTCATCCATTATTATAATGGTACGATCATAACCACCACAATTGATAGTTTTTCGTTTTTCGCAACACCAATAATGCAAATCATTCAGGCACGTAACCAGACATACATACATATTTCTATAAGGGGACCAACATTTTTTGGCCCTTTTCTGTTGTATTTATCAAATGTGCGTTCGATATCCGTATTTGGAATTCCTAGTTTTCAATCTATTAATACACGTACTATTGTCTTATCTCAGATTGTCAAGTGACGAATATTTATAAAATAGAAACTCAGTTTCTTTATATTTTTGTTATACGATCGTTAATTATATGGAATGAGCGCATGTAAACTCCGCCAAAAGTACCTTTTTTTACTGTTGACTCCAACTACTGTTAAGTAGAAAAATAAAACAGGTAAAATTGGGTTCATGTAAACTCCGCCACTAAAAAAAAATCATGTAAAATTGAATACATGTAAACACTGCCAATGAAGAAAATTGAGTAGTAGTATAAAATTAATATGATACATTATTAAAAGTAATACATAATAAGTAATAATAAGCAGTGCTCGAATTGGGGAGGGGGGGGTGCGCAGGCGGAGCTCCTCTACTTTTTTTTTTTGTGTACCCCAACTATATTTTTTCACCGGAATGGGGGACGTTCACCCCTAATTGATGTCCAAAATAATTTTTATGTGAATTTCAATTTACGTCAATTTGAAAACGAATTTTACGATTATAATATCAAAACTATTTTCATAATTAAAGATTATATGGTGGTTATGATAAAGGAAAACGTTGTCATTTCTGGAAAAATATAAATAGCAATGTCTGTGAATTTGGTGCATTATACTTTATACATTGTATGGTTTGTTATTAGTATTGGCGATCGACGATATCGGCATTTCGGAAAAAAATAAATGACCGCACCACGACTAATTTTGGGCTGTGGCCCGCAACAAAGAGTAAAAATAGATAAAAACAAAAACCAAATATATGATTATATCATTCGATTCATGAAACTGCCTGATCGCCTACAATTATGTTAATTATTATTTTATTTTTATTTTCTATTGTAACATGTAGGATGTTGGTATGGTTATCAAAATATATTATATTTGGAATTAAAATATTTGTTTAGCTGAAATGTATTATTCAAAATATATGTAAGGTTGGCGGTGGGTAAGGATGAGAGACGAAGCGAAAATAATTGCGCACATAGAACGCAGTTTTCGAATCGTTGGACTGAGCTCCTCTACTTAATTTTTCCCAATTCGAGCACTGATAATAAGTGAATATTATTATTATATTATATAATATGATACCTCCATTTTATTTCACCAGACGCATATTTTATATTTTGGTTAAATTTGTAGTTAGTTGTTAAATAAAACCAATAAATTGCCTCGTTGACCAGTAATTAATTTTATATTATTGCTTCGTTGTGATGTATTTCGTACAATATAAAATATACATGGAGACACGCAACTACGAATGATTTTGTTCGTCAAAGTATACTTTACGTATACCTTACCTATTTCCGATATCATCAATGGACAATATTAATAAATATAAACAATTCATTATAAACAATACTAATAAATGAATCAATGTGGATATATATCCACCTTGAAATGAATGGAACCATGACAATAATTTTATCAATTTCGACATACATCATCGCAATAGATGTCAACGTATTTAATGTGAGAAGGCACGTGGCAATATGAGCACTGAGCAGGTAAATAAAAAAAAACTGGAGGAATTTACTTGGGCGTAATACGTTTCCACCAAAAGTAGACCTTTCCCTTTTCCACCAATACCCGTTTCCACCAAATGAGATAGAATACCTATACTCTTCATTAGTTTTTTGGATTGATGTAAAATATACATAAATATACATACAATATAATCAATGTATATTGTACATTTATTGTATTTAATTGAATGTTAAATCGTTATCGTACTTATGCATGTACTCATAACATTAACCATGATAATATCTAAATAATCAAATACTTAATGAACAAGTGAAAAGATGGCACAGTTTAAATAGTGCATTTCAACTGTATGTATGTTAAAATAAAACGTAAATTTTAAAATTTATAATTCTATGATGGCTAAAGTTATCGAAAGTAAACGTAGAAATAAAACACTAGAACTAAACAACTTTAAATTTTTTATTAGATCAGTTAACAAATATCAACTAATTATATGTATAGTTATAATTTACATAGGTAACTAAGGTATCGTATACCATAATATATCATTTTTTTCACCTTTTTATATCTGACCATTTTTATAAATAAAATTTAACATTTTCCAACCTATATTGTATATATTATACAATGACTAAATTTATTGAATTAATAGTATATATTAAATAAAGTTATTTTTGTGCTATAGCTTTTAATTTAAGCGTAGTATACAATTTTTTTGGTAAAAATGAGGTCAATATCTCATTTGGTGGAAACGGATATTGGTGGAAACGGGTATTGGGGGAAAAAAAGAAAGGTCTACTTTTGGTGAAAACGGGCATCGCCCGTTTACATATACCCATTACAGGTAAGAAAAAAAATCTGGCGGAGTTTACACCAGACCTTTTATTATCTTTTTATCTTAACCTATATTCTAGCAGAGTTTACAATCACTCATATGGAATATACATTTAGGATTTAGCCGATTTGAGACAACTAAACACCATAATATTTAAAAATCAAAATCAAGGGGGCCAGTACGGGGCCATTGATTTTTCTTAGGGGGCCAGGCCCCCTAAGGCGCCCCCCTTGACGACGTGCCTGAAATTATTTCTATTTTTGTTTTTCATCTTTATGTAATCATTAATAACAAGTGATATATATATATGTGTGTGTGTGTGTGTGTGTGTACAAATAAACATCACCTCTATTTTTTTGATAACAATTATTTATTTAGCCAGCAAAACAGTTTGAAAATTTAAAAAATAGTAGTATAGTATAAACATTGACACAATTACTATAATAGTGTTTAACCATACATAGCCAAAGTATTTGGCACAATTCGTAAAATACTTGATTATTTTCAATCCCATCCTTCTGATTAATTGATAACATGGCCAACTCGTTAGGTATTTTCTAAAGAGAACAATTATAAATTAATTATATTTTATAATTATTATCTAGTTACAGTAAAATAAAATAATACAGGTAGACCTACTTGGCCCGTAGTATTAAATTGGTAAGTTTTTATCCTCTTCAATGACTTAAATTATCTTTCGTTCCGTGCAGTAGAAACTATTCTATACTTAATAGGGAGTTTTTGCATAACGCCAGTTAAACGTTATGGTAAAAATAACGTTCGGCTAAACAAATTATTTTTATTTTTATCATAATTTATAAAACTTTAGTTTTTGCATAACCAGTGAGGTTTATTTTAGCATGAGATTATAAACTGTCATCAAATTGAAATATTATTAATATTATTTACACAAGGTAAATTGTATTTTTAATTAACTGTATATTAGAGTAAGAGTATAATATATTTTATATTCTATTGTTTATTATATATTTTATAATTTTATTCGATGTTTAAGCTTTGAATATTTCCCCATTTGTTAGCATCATTGTAGGCGTTTAAACATACCACTTGCTGTAATAAAAATAAATCCTCTAAGGTTGAAAACCGCAAACGCTCCTTTTTGTATTCCATTTTAGAAATAAAAATAATTGTAAAATACGAAAAAAAACTTACAACTAACAAGTTACACTTTCAAAAGCTTCGAAAATGATGTGTTATCATAATAGTAAATATTATATTATTTGATGACATGGTAACCGATATTACGATAACGAAGCCCGTTAAATTGTCTAAAATAACCGATTACGATAAATGGATAAGCGGAACGTTTTCGGTGCGCATTTGCACTGACTCGTATTAGTAAATAACGATAACGGAGTGCAATGTTATTTTTAACCGGCGTTGTGCAAAAACTCCCTAATTATCATATATTTGAATATATTTCGAAATTACATATAGATAAAGCTTCCATTGCGATGCCATAATCATTTTTTTATTTCAAAACGTAAATACGCCAAGGATTACGCCATTCATTAGAAAAACTTACCAGACGATACTTTCATTATGTTCAGATAAATATTGTAGACATTTCGTAAACATTACTTATTTGATTATAGTATAGACGTTATAGTTATAAGCAGTGTTGGGACTTATCTAGATAAATATCTGTATTCTTGTCAAGATTAGAGTTATTTTTATTCTTGTACGGAGACGAATCCAACTAATCAGAGATCATCAAAATCGGTCCAGCCGTTCTTGAATTATAAAATCTGTAAATAACCTGACTTTCTTTTATACATATAGATATTGTATTCATAATCATAATTCGTGCATTGTTAATAAGTAATTATTATTTCTTGGTATGACATTTTTTTGTATTTTCATGTCGGGAAAATATTTTGGTATTTTTAAACTTACTTTCTTATTTTTCCATGGAAGCTCCAAGTATAGTAGGTATTTGATTTTAGTATACACATGTAACTCATACGCTGAATAATCATTATTTCACTCTTGGAACCCGTAAAGTCGTAACTACTTATAGAATAATGAAAATCATCAAATTAATATTATATGGAAGACTTAAAATAATTTTTTATGTATTTTGTATTCATCCTGTTACGTATAGAGCAATTTTTATTTATTTTTTTTTTTGTGTAACATTTTAGTGATTAACTATCATTAAATATTTTACATTATATATAAATACTGCTTAATGGTACACTACATTACTACAATAAAAATTAAACACCTAGGTCACTATTGATAATAATTATTATAATTGAGTCTTCATAGATATTATTAGAATATGAAATATTGACCAAAAAATAACATTTTTTGAAAATATCTTTATCTTTATCTAGATGATTTTGAACATATTATCTTTTATCTTTATCTAGATAAATTTTGCATTATCTATTCCCAACACTGGTTATAAGTTATGTAAGTAAAATCCTCAACCCGGTCGGCACAAATCACAGGGGTACCAAGAGTGCTTAGCACCCAAAGTTATATAGTTCGCACTCTGAATCCCGTGATGATAGTACACATCGTATAATATTCCCTCTGTTTCCTCTAATATTTGTTTGTTGCTTAAGTCCTCCTAATACTTTTGGACGAGTTGCATCATGCTCCTGCCTCTCCTCCCCGTATGTATTGTGCTAAAACACCACCATTAAACTCAAATTATTTGCGCCTTATAACATTTTTGTATGTGTACTTCCCAGGATGCCATGCTGAACTCGGCATCGCCAGTGCTCCGAGTAGCCCGAGCCGGTGGTGTTTACCAAGGACCGTTACCGGGCGATGACTGGTCTGTTTTCAGCGCTAACCACACGACGTATGAACCGGTGGCATGGGGCAGCAACAATTCTTTCGGCACACCGGACGAGTACATCCCTTTAGCCACTGTCATGCAGGACCATGGCATGTACGATGGCATATCCAGGATGCTGTTCGGCTCCGGACTCAAGTTCTGGCTGCACCGATTGTTGTTCCTCGACTCGCTATCGTACCTCAGCAAAGGATTACTGAGCATATCACTCGAACGGCAGGTACTCGTGGACATCGACGACATATTCGTCGGCGAAACCGGTATCCGCATGTGGAAAGAAGACGTTCACGTAAGATCTATTTTCCGTCTTTTTTCTTTATTTTTTTTTTCGTATCAAATCTAATCAAACCGCTTACTGTTATATTATACCGTCTAATGTCACCGTAAGTTGTAATAACGAACAAACGTTTAACGGCATGTAATTTATGTATAAAAAAATGCATAATATTTTTAATGTTAATTTTATAACCACTTGTTTTACCCTAGGACCTCGTTAAAACTCAAGAACGGATACAAAAGTTGGTGCCGGGATTCAAATTCAATTTAGGCTTCTCTGGAAAATACTTCCATCGGGGTACATGGGAGGAAAACGAAGGAGACGACACGATATTAGGTAAGCTTGTTATTCTTATTATGATTCCGATCAGTTTCGATAACATTTTTAAGACCAATCTTAAAATTATATGTTCAAATACAGAACACGTGGATAAGTTTAACTGGTTTTGTCATATGTGGAATCATATGCAACCACATCTGTATAACAACGAAACTCATCTAGAGTACGAAATGACGTTGAACAAGGCGTTCGCCGAGGTAAGTTTTTGCTAGAAAACTGAATCGCTAGGACATGTTTGAAAAATATTTGAAAACGCGTATTTATAATATCTAGGCTCATGGAATACCAACCAACTCCAGTTACTCGGTGGCGCCCCACCATTCCGGTGTGTACCCGGTACACGAGCTATTGTACACCGTATGGAAAAAAGTGTGGAACATCAAAGTAACTTCGACGGAGGAGTACCCGCACCTGAGGCCTGCCAGACTGAGAAGAGGGTTCGTTCATCGGGGCATCAAGGTAAAACTTATATTATATACGTATAGTGGGAAAAGAACGAAAATATCTACAGTCGTCGTTGCTTTTTGCGTTCGTGTAGGTATTGCCGAGACAGACCTGCGGTTTATTCACACACACCATCTACGTTGACCGTTATCCCGGTGGTCGGAAAAAGTTGGACGAATCCATAATGGGCGGAGAACTGTTCCAGACGATCGTGTACAACCCTGTAAGTGTCGTGCGGGTATCCCTTGCAGTTGTATAAATAACTCCCTAGTTATACTACACCGAAGTGCGGTAACTCGCGCGTCTCCAAGCAAAACTCCTACGACTTCGTTTTCTAGTTTCGATATGACGTTTCGATTCCGAAAAATAATAGTTTTTTCAACTATGATTTGAATGGTTACGAAATCGATTTCTGTACCTTGTCTATCATTACGGATCGTAGGCGTGATTTTATCGCATTTATTATTTCGTAAAAAAATTTACTCGCTGTTTTTTCCTTTAGTTTTTCCGTAATCGTGTAGACCAGTTAGTAGATAGTCATTTCGGAGGTCCGCGGCAGCCTTAACACATAACATACGTGACATGAGTGCTTTATTATAATCAAGTTGGATTATTATTATTTTTATTTTTTTTCATATATTTTTTATTGTATAATTTATTATATAATATCTTTATACGATGTTCAAAAACTTGTGTCTTAAGTATAACACCAACTAATTGAAAAATTAAATGTAATAAAAATAATTATTTAAATTTTGGTTTTAATAACATGAGATGTTTTGTAAAAAAAAAAATATATATATTCGAAAAAAAATTGGTAAGGGGGTCCACAATGTCTAAAAATGTTTCAACAAGGGTCCGTGATCTACAAAGGATTATGAACCACTGGTGTAGACGAAACAATATTACGCCATCGACGGACAGGGGTGAATATAAGAGAACACATTATTTATGTACACTTCGTGTCGGAAAAAAATTTATTTCTGTGGAAAAAAAAAATAAGAAAAGGAAAACGTTTCACGAAACAACGTATTGTTTTTATGTTATTAAAATAACAGGCTCTAAGAAACAACAACCGTCTACTTGCATTACGGTTTTTATAGTTGTATGCTCTACGGCAGTGGTGGCCAAACTACGGCCCGCGGGCCAACTCCGGCCCGCCATCATTTAATATCTGGCCCGCGAGTGTCTTCTATATTACAGCACTTATTTGTATAACTGTAATATTTTGCATTTACGTAAAAAAAAATTTAGAATGCATTTTTTTATGGCCCGCGATAAAAAAAAAGTTGTTTTTTATGGCCTGAGGAAAAAAAAAGTTTTGCCACCACTGCTCTACGGGAAAGTCTGATATTCTTGCCCACACCACGCCGTTCACAAGATTATATAATAGTTTCAGTAAGCTACCGCGGTCGCGTTATGCACACGATGGCGGGTGTGACAAGTGTGCCTATATAGAGTGTATTATTACTGCAAGGGTAATCTACTCAAAGGTTTTTAAAGAAAAAGCTCGTAAGGTGCCATGAATAGATAATCGCTTTTCACTCTCGCTCGTATATTTATCCCTATCCTTTTGCTTTTACCATATATTTTAATCTGTTTACGGTAAATTTGTTTTTACCGTTTCGCCATGTGCCGACAACAGTACCTAATAATAATAACAACAATAATATAATAATCTCGTCTCCTAGATTAACGTGTTCATGAGTCACATGTCCAATTACGGCAGTGACCGGTTAGCGTTGTACACCTTCGAGTCGGTCTTCCAGTTTATCAGATGCTGGACAAACTTAAAACTAGTGTCCTCGGGACCTTTGCAGTTGGCGGAAAAATACTTCAAGTTGTATCCCGAGGAAATCGATCCTATGTGGGGTGTAAGTATAGCCACAAAATACTAATGTATTTAGACATTTATGTCAAACATTTTATCTGGTCTAGATTAATTTACCAATTATGTTAACAGTTCTGTTACTGTTCTATAAAATACACGTGTCCTGTAAATTGTCCAAATTTACCGCAGATGGTTTCTTGAAACTAAATGTTCTAATTGTAAAATATATAAAAAAAATAAAATAAAAGTTTTTCTTCTTCACCTTTCTCCCAACTGTTTGGGATTGGCCATCCATGTCTAAAAAAACTAAAATAATAACAAAATAAAAATATATTATTTATAGAATAAAATAAATAAATAAGGGTTACGATTTTATTAACTTTGTCAATATATACCTGATGATGAACTTTTAATTTTAAACTGGTCGTACTTTACAAATATAATAATTTTTCAGGATGAGCATTTATTTATTTATTTATTAATTTTATTTAATTATTAATATTTTATATGTATGTATAAAATACAATTGCAAATTTTTAATAAATTATATTAAATTAGTATTTCTTAGATAAAATTAAAAACACTATCTAAAAAATTATTAAAATATAAAATATTTGTATTTTAAGTATATATTTTAAAATTTTAGAATCCCTGTTTGGACCAAAGACATCTTAAGATTTGGTCGTACAAAAAATCTTGTCAACGTCTTCCCAAGTTTCTGGTTATTGGACCTCAGAAGACTGGTACAACCGCATTGTACACGTTCCTATCAATGCACCCAAATATATCAGCAAATGCTCCAAGTAAAGAAACATTTGAAGAAATCCAATTTTTTAACGGTCGTAACTATTACAAAGGGTTGGATTGGTTAGTATAACAGTAAGAAGTTAATGAAAAAAATTTGCATATACTAATGCACTTATGTTTTGTTTCAGGTACATGGATTTTTTCCCTTCCAACGATTCTGTTGACAATAAGATTGTATTTGAAAAGTCTGCCACTTACTTTGATGCAGACATTGTGCCCAAGCGAGTGCAAGCATTATTACCAAATGTTAAACTTGTGAGTTCACATTCATTACCTCGTGTACCATTTTGTGTCTTACCAATTTCAATATGCATTTTTAATTTATTTAATTTATGTACACAGGTGACCATATTAATCTCACCTGCTAAAAGAGCTTATAGCTGGTATCAACATGCCAAAGCCCACGGTGATCCAACTACGCTCAAGTATTCATTTTATCAAGTTATCACAGCCAATGAATCTGTTGCGCCCAAACCACTAAGAGATCTTCGTAATCGGTTAATATTGATTGAAATAACTTTCTAGGGTCCAAGATTATAATTGATTACAATGACTTTATTATTATTATTACTATTGGTACTCCATTTTTTTTTTCTTATTGGAAGGAGTGCTTTTGCATAAATCTACCAATCCAATGAAAACTACTTACAATTTTAAGAACTTTCTTTAATTTTAAATCAAGGAGTATGATTTTTATGTTTGTATTAAATTAATTTTACCATTTAATTAATTAATTTACAACTATTTGGTTATAAGTTCTATAAAAAAACATGTGAGCTATATTTTATTTTGTAGATTTCCAAATTATTTTAAAATTGAACTAAACAATTATAACTTATGATTAGGATAGAGGACTTGTAGCTCTAAAAAAACACTAAATATTTTAGCACTATTGCTCTTAAAAACCCTATAATATGCACTAAAAATATGCTATTACATTTTTTTAAGCAACTTATTTAAAAATATATAAATAATTTAAATGTAATGTAACATTAAATCATTTTTACACATTTTTGATGCTAAAATACTTACAGAATAGAACATTACAGTCAGTTGAAAACACATTGACACCTAATTCCGATATATAACTCTTTAACCAATTATTAAAAGACTATTTTATCTTTCAGCATTTTAATTTTAGCACACAGAAACAAAAAGTTGATACGAATTACAAATATACTATATTAACCGTATTATGTAATTAAAATTTAAAATTATTCTTAATTGAACAATGTTTTGGTCATATATTAGATGAAATATAAACTTCAGTGGAAAAGTATTGTTAAAATTATAAATTATTTGAAATATGCATTAAAAAGTATAAAATGGAATTAAATATGCCCTTAAAATACAAACTTAAAATATACTTTTATATGCAAAATTAAATTTCAAGTCTAGCTTTGTGAAAGCATGAAACCTACTAGTTTTGTACTCTGCTATTTTTGTGATTGTGCAAAACTAATATACAAATGTTACAAGTTATCTGCCCTAGTTATAATCAATTTCAAAACTAAATTTTATTTTATCAAATCAAATGAATCATTTAAGGTTACTAATATTATAGTTTTAATTGTTCATTTTCAATTAAGTAATTACTAAGTAGAATCTATATAAAACATAACCACTGTTATTTATAAATGATATGATCCATGATATAATCAATTGATTAGAACCTAAAATAACAAATCAATCATAAACTGTGATCAATAGATAATTGGATTTAAAAATGTATTTTCATAATTTGATTTATATGAAGTTAAAATAAGTGTTAAACAGCATACACTGTTACCAAGGCCGGATTAAGCACCTATTAGGCCCCGGGGTTGAAATTTTATATGGGTCCTTTTGACAAAACATGCTTTACAAAAATTCTCACTACGCTTGCAGAACAATACATTTTTTTAACTATTTCACAAATTGTCAATTGCATTATATAATTATAAAATGAATAGGTATATACAATTTATGTCTATAAAACTACTAATTTTAGTATGAAATAAAATGTGTATCGGCTTAAAATTGTGTGGGGCCCTTTCACTTGGGTACTCAAGAGGGCCCCTGGGCTACCGCCCTGGATAAACCCCCCTTAATCCGGCCTTGACTGTTATACACATTGTTACTATACACTGTGTTTAGTCATACACTATTGCACTATACTAATACTATTGTTCTTACAATAACTTGAGCTTCGGTATTAATTGTATAAGTACTTTTTTTTTTTTATATAATAATTACATGAATTTAAAAATGATAAAATTGAATTATTAATTTTAGATGCTTAAACCCAGGAAAATATGCTCTTCACATAGAACATTGGCTGGATTATTTTAATCATAACAATTTGCATATTATTGATGGTGACCAACTCAAATCAAATCCTGTAGACGTACTTGATCAGTTTCAAAAATTTTTGAAAATCACACCGATGTTTGATTATTCTTCTCACATAAGGTACATTATTTTTCTATTACTATTTAATATTTTACTTTACTACATAATTTTAATCTTGTTATAGATATGATGTGAAAAAAGGATTCTTCTGTAAAGTATTAGAAGGAGGTGGAAACAAGTGTCTAGGAAAAGGCAAAGGTCGACAATATGCCACTATGGACGCAGAGTCGTATAAATACCTCCGAGAATATTATATGCCATATAACACTGCTTTAGTTAAACTTTTACGCAAGTTAGAGCACACAACTATCCCTCAGTGGCTCAAAGATGATTTAAGCTATTCGTCCACCTGACATTTGCTTCGTAAGTTTCCAGTTCCATCTGGTTCATAAGTTCAAAATATAAAAATTAAATGTAAATTAGTACTTATACTACAGTTTAAGAAAATGTGTTTTAACTGTATGTGGAAAGTATATAATAACTCAACATGAGTAAACAGTCGGTGTAGGAATTTGATGTATGATATAAAATATCACTATTATTATTAATTTATTTTGGATAGTTTTTTTTTCCGGCTTTACAATCTATTGAGGATCTTTACCACCAAAAATACTTCCTTCCATTTCTCTCTATCATACGCTATAACTTGCCAATCCGCCACCCCGTGGTCTGCCGCATTCCATATCTCTTTTATGCTGTCTATCCATCTTCATGGGTTTCCCTTTGGTCTTCTCACCACTAACGTCTAAGTCATTACTTCTTTTATTAGGCATCCGTCTGTTTGCCACACATGTCTGGCCCATTGCCCATTTTTGAATAGGTATAGAAAAATAAAATAAAAATATATAAATTAAAAAATTTTCTAAACCTTCTGTTGTACTAAATCTTTAGAATTATTCTACAACTGTTCCATTTTTCAAACATGATTGGAATACCTTTATAGCTCTCATTCACATTGCCTCAGTTATTGTATTGAATTTATAAAAATTGAAAAATAATAATGAAAAATTATTATATTTTTCTTTAATTATTAAAAATTTCAATAACACTTGTGTCATGTTTTTAATGAATTATTTCATAAATACTTTTATGTGTACACTTCTCATTAGTTAAACTATCATATCTAAAGTGAAACACAGTAAAAACAACAAAAATCTAGCGCTAGATTTTCTACTGAAAGTAAAGTTCACTGTACCACTTTATGTGTAAAATCATTTTGCTCTGATAACTTCATTAAAAATTATATTTTCTTCGGCTAGAAACCAATTGACTGTATTTTTTTTGTTACCATTCATTCGAAATAATTAACAATTACTATATCAATATATAAATAATATCATTAATATTTCAATAAAATGTTGAACCATACACAAAACACACAAAAAAAAAGTGTAGCATATCTATTTTATTATTTTTTATACTGCTCACCATTATTATGTTAATTATGCTAATGTAATATTATTTAATGTTTTTAGGTGGTAGAAAGAAGAAATACCAGCGTTTGTTGGCTGGTGTATATTCTACCACGAGAAAATGAAATCCTGAATTTCTCATATTATATATAATAACAATATTGTAATATTTTTAAAAAAAACTATGAAAATCGATGCCATATTAGGTTATTTTAAACTATGAAATTAGGTTTTTTTTTTAATTTTAAATTTTGTTGATTTTATTATAGCTGTTTTTGTAAATAGACCATGTTAATAATTATTAATAATAAGAATTGTTTTTTTTCTTTTTTTTTTTTTTTTGATGTAACAAATATTATTTTATTCATGTATATTGTATGCACATAATATATACATATGTATATTATTATTATTATTATTATTATACCTAAATATTATACAGATAATAATGTAGACCGTCCATGTGTTAATTAATTTTTTTTTTCAAGCACCCAGTGCTTTACGTGTCAATTTTCTTATTTTGGCTCTGCCTGAAAATATAAAAGACCACTTTTTTGTACTAACCCGTTTTATTATTTTATAATATTAATACTGAATTATTTTAGCAATTTATTATTGATTAATCAATGATGTTGAAACCATATCTCAAATAGCCAAGAAACATTTCTTGACTACATGTACACCAAGCTGGTGTCTATAACAGCGGTTCTCAACCACTGGTCAGCAATTAAAAAGAAACTGGTCTGTGTTATACTGAAAAGTTTAGTTATAAATTAGAAAATATAGATTTCACACTTGGAAATATTTATCAGTAAGTATCTATTATTAGATTTTGACATAATTAATTACAAACTAGTAGTACGACGGTACAGGATTGTTTTGCTCCAGGCCCCAATCTGGGAAAATTTAAAGGGAGCTTCTCAGATTAGACGTTATCCATTAGAGATTTTTTTTAAATGACGACCATTGTAAACGGACTATTTTAAGGGATTCAGTATAGGCAATATTAGTAATTCGTGCATGCGAGCCGTATAAGTCACTGCCACGGCGCAAGAAAGATATATTTAAAACCAAATTATGGCCGTGAAATAGCAGTACAACTGATACAAATTAAGGTAATTTAGGTATTTTTAGTGGTTTGATTTAAAAAATTTTAAATTTTTTGAAATTTTAAACAAGTTTGCTTTGGTATCAGTCGGAACACTTTTTCAATGTTAATACGAAAATAAATAATTTACATTTCATAAATTTGTCAATTTTTAATATTGAATAATATATATATTATTGTTGATGTTCAGTTTAGTATATGCATAGAACATAACAGAAACGACACTCTACTTATTTCCTTTATTCTGGCAAAATATTTTTCGTTGATCTTGAAAGAAGCTGACAGTATTATCACCGATAAGTAAACAATGGAATTATGAAAAATGTGCTTGAATATTGAACTGAAAGACGAAAAAACATTATACAGCACGTTATTAGGATTTAAGACAATTTCTTCAAACATCAACTATATAAAATCTTTTAAACACATTGTTAAACATTTTTTATAAAATATATATTACTCTGTAATGAAGTATGGAATAATGACGTGTAAACAGGTAATATTATAATATTTACGTAAAACAAAAAATAACTATCGATCTAATTTTTTTTATATTATACAATTAATCAATTATAAATACAATACATCAATAACAATAATTACAATACATCAATTTTTCTATATTATGCATATTAAACAATATTATATAATGATTATTAACTAAAATTATCAACAAAATTTAAGTAACTAAGAAATATTACAAGTTGGAAAGTATTTTAATTTTTCTATTTTTATTTTTATTTCTACTTTGAAGGCATACATTTTTATTTGTTCTTGTTAGTGTAGTATATATACGGAATCTAATAAAAAGGTTTAATAGATAATCTTTTGGAAATTGTGGACAAGGATGTTCAAAATACACATTACTAATCATACATTATTTAATTTGTTGTCCAAAATTGGGTAAAATTGATAAATTGTCAAAATTTGCTTATATAGATTTAATCAAGATCAAAAATAAATTGGTAAAAAGTTGAATCTAGCATTATTAAAGATGAAAGTATAGAAGCGGGATCACGTTCATATGCTTTGAAGTAGCTAAAAAAATTTTCACGTGACAATGTTGTAGTGGCATGTGCAAAATTCATACAGACATCATAGGTATGCTTTTGAATACATTTACTCATTAAATACCCACAGACATATGTGAATGCATTTAATTCAGGTAACCCGAGGGATCGATAATGTTTTGGATCTATAGAAAGTGGACAAGTATTTGCTACATGTACTTTTTCTGGAAAAATTATTTTCAAATCGTTGGATTGTGTTTCTTGAAGACCCGTTAAAACGTTATCTAAATCATCTAAACAATTAGCTCCTTCAGAATATTTAAAATAATTAATGTAGAAGAGTTTTTAAAAAATACGTTTAAATTCATAGGCGTGCTCAGGGGTATGCAGGGTATACAACTGTATACCCTAAACATAGAGCCTTCTTTCTAAAATTACAAAAAATTATGATATATTTGGTCTTACGTATATTATGTAATTTTTTATTACATTATGATTTTTATTATATTTTTATATGCAGTCCCAGACAGTTTAATTTATTTTTGAAACACAAATCATATGCTATAATAACGATTTAATGTGTTAATGAAATTAAGAAGTACAATAATTCAAGCGAGATTAAATAGCTATCAACTACAGAACAAGAAATGGCTATAAATTAAAATCCCGAAAACATTATTGGTGATATTAAGAACTCAATTGTACGCAGAATCGTTTTATGATTAATTTTGATTATTTATCAAATTTATTTTGTTTTTAATTTAAGTATATAATTACGTTTTTATTTATTTACCCTATTTAAACGTATTTTTCAAACCATTTCAAATGTTATGAATTTAATTTTTTTTTTTTCGTAATTTATTTTAAATTTTAATTATGAAGACAGTTATAACGATTAAGAAATGGGTATTCAGTCACTTTTTTCAGGAAAAAAAATTAAAATTTTAAATTAAATAGTTATTAAGACCAGAATTTCGAAGCTTAAATTAACTTTCAGTTTATGGTGGGGAGTAGGCAGTGGCAGCCTTTTGCATACCCTGAAAAAGAGGTCTGCGCACGCATATGATTAAATTGTATACAAGTTGGATTAATACAGTTATCATTTTGTGTTCTAACTGTACCAAACAAGTTTTCTAAGCAGTCCTGGTTTCAGTGTTTCCGATGATATGGTAATTACCACATACGGTGGTAATTTCATCCAATTTTGGTACATGGTGTGGTATTGTATAAAATGTGGTATTTTTGCGGTATTTATGAAAATACAAAAAAATGTGGTAATATATACTATATATAGAGAATTAAATTGAAATGTATTGTAATACAAGTTATAAGTTTTTTTTATTTTTTATTATACCTATTATTATTAATTGTAATTGTATAATAATAATAATCCATAATGTATAATAATCCATAGACCTTATACCTAGTACAAGGTCTATGCATGCATATAGCCGGGTTCATACTACACCGTGCCGTGTCGTGTCTTATAAAATAATTATCTCTGATTGGTTGAACCATATTGTTACATCAAGGTAACCGTATAATAAATCACAAGTTACCTCACTAACCATAAGATACCGTGAAGTTGATTTTATCTAACTTTTGAACGTGGTTACCGATTTTAATAGTAATAATATAATATTCTATGATAACAGTATTCATAATAACAAAAGGCTCGGAAGATGTTGCATTTGCATGATTTTATTGGGATATTTATTAAATTTATTGCTAAGTAACCTTGAAATTATTTTCTTGACACTATGAAAAACCTAATGGAAACATTTTGAAAGAAAATTTTAAATTTCAAACTATTTTTATGTTATTTTATCTTATATATTTATACCTAGAGATTATGTTTAGCTTAGTAAAATATACTAACAACATTTTTACTATTATGTACGAGTATATTTAATAAAATATCTTTATTTATAAACATTTTTGTGTTAAAAAAAAATTAACTGCATATTTTTGAAGCATATTTGTACTTTTTTAAGCGCATAAGTGCATGTATATTTAGTACTTGTTAAGTGCATTAAGTTCCGAGTCCTAATAATAATATAATACATACTGTCTACTATATAATTTATTATTAATTCAGTTAAAAATAATAAATAAAATCAGTTATCATTTATTGAAACTTATGAAAATATTTTATATCTAATAAAAAACTGCAAAAATATGTAACCAAAATTTGATAACATCACCATAAGATATATATTGGTATCACACATATTTAAAGCACACGATCTGGTAAAATACACGTCACGGTGTAGTGTGAACCCAGTTTATGGCTTTCGGCTTCATAATCATAATGCGTCAGACATAATCAGTTAGCAATCTAGTTATTGTATATATCTGTGGTTACAATGATTACAATGCGATCGTGGTAAATTATAATTGATAACACGAAATTACGAAATTCAATACTCACAGAAATTACAAATAATACAATTGTGAAATGTTAATAGTTAATACCAATTAGTTAATAGCAATCAAGTAAATTATAGCTGCTGTTACCTATTTTGTTTATAAATATCTATAAAAATTATATAATAACAATGGATAAATGGCTTAAAAAAGTTGTGCCTGACACTCAATCTACTCAATTAATTATAAAAGAAAAAGAAAACATTGATGAACCGGAACCTTTGTTGAGTTTGATTACTGCTGATTCAAGTTTAGTTATTGAACAAGATCTAGAAGCTTCTCAATCATCAACAACAGACAAAAAAAAAAACAACTGTTAGAAAATTTATAGAAAAATGGTTAACTATGACAAAGTACAAAAATTGGCTTACTACCAAAATGAACATAAAACAAAAAGTAGTAGCTTATTGTAGGGTTTGCAGTTCTTTTTTGAGTCCTCACCAGTGGCGCAAATAGGAAAAATGTTTAGGGGGGGCTCAAGCCCCAACACATTTTTTTTTTAAATTATAATTTATAGGTACATAGTTTTAAGAATGGTATCTGTATTTATTGAATTTTAAAATATGTATTATCATACATAGTACATTTATGTAAATATATATATAATAATAGGTATATAACATTAAATATCATCAAATAGATATTTAATGTAATTGTATCCGTCTCTCGGTTTTTTCAAAAATATTTAATATGTCTTCATCATTGATAGGAATGTCTTTTTCTATATTCATAATACTTAAATTGCTGAACCTATCTTGATTCATACAAGTACGCAACCATGTTTTTATACGCCGCATAGTAGAAAATGATCTCTCACAGGTCGCTGTACTTACGGAAGAGTAACAGCTACTTGAAACATCTTACAAAAATTTGGAAATACTTTACCATCATATAATATCAAATGTTGTTTTATTTCCTCTAAACTAGAGTTTTCACCCAGAATGTTTTTTAAAACAGACATTTCAGACATCAGTGACTGATTACAAATTCCAAATAAATCCTAAACAAATATTAAACATTAGTTAAATGCTTGAAAAATAATAATGTATTTTACATGTACCTTGTAATGATCAATTAAAAATGAAGAACTTTCAAATTTCAATTTTAGTAAATTATCTACTGATGAGGCTACTTGAAGGCTTTCTTCAGAAAATCTTGTTTTTAAAATATTTATCATTGTATCTAATATACTATAATAAGCTTTTTTTTCCCAATATTTTTTTTTTTGTTTCTACAATATCTGCAGTATGATCATCACTAGCACTAGTTGTTGACAAACAAACAAAATCTTTGAGTTGAGATGGCTCTTTTCGTAATCTTTTCTTTGATACAGCTATAACCAAATAAATAAATAATTATAAATTACAAATTCAGTATTTTTATATTTTTTCTTACATTGCAAAGGAATTTCAAGAGAAATGTCATGTTTAGTGCTAAATTCAAGCACTTCATTCCAAAGTGTATTATAATGTTGTTCAGAATCACGATGTTCTTGTAAAGTTGTAATTACTCCAGTTATTAAAGATTTAGAATTACCCAGGGTTGCTGATTTTGATTGTAGATGATTTGATAGTATATGAATAATTTGTAAGACTTCCTTTAATATGAATAAATATATTACAAAATCAACAGACTTAATTGTTGAAATAATACCTAAAACAAAACAATTTAAATTCAATATTTTTCACTGAATAATAAAATAAAATATAGTTGCCATTAAATTATATGAATCTACATAAATCATACCAATTGCTTCAGCGACATCTTTATTTTTTTGAGCATCAATTTCCTCTTTTAAAGACTGAATTAATACACCATAATTTTGTATGACTGAGCTGCAACTTTTAAAACAACAGGCCCATCTTGTTTTACTTAACTGAACTAATGATTTTTTTTAACCCAAGTAGATTTTGAATTTCATTGAATTTTTTATTTTTTGAAGGATATGAGAAATGTACGTATATCGCTTCTAGTCCATTAAATAATTTTCTAAGATACTAATTAAACAAAATACGATTTTAATTATTATAAATTATTAATTGGTACTAAGTAATAAAATATTATTCAAAGAAATAATAAATAATTAGATTACCTTCAAATATTTGCATGTGTCCACAATCACTAAATTTAATTTGTGTGTCATACAATGAATGTATATAGCATATGGATAAATTTGCTTAAGTTTAGTTTGGACACCTCCTTTCTGACCAGACATTACATTTGCTCCGTCAAAAGACTGGCCAACAATTGGAATATCAGATAAATTACAAAAACGTAAAAAGTCGATAATAGATGAATATAATGCATCAGCATTTTGACTATATGATACATCAACAAATCCTAAAAAACGTTCTTTCACCTCTAAATTGTTTGTATAACGGATACAGATGGACATTTGCTCTTCTTTATGAGATCTGTATTCAAACACATTGCTATTTATTATTTTGAACTGTTACAAAATAACTAAGCATCATTCTTAAAAATATTTATTTTTACTTACCTGAATTCATCACATGAAATGGAAAACATGCCACACTTTTTAACTTCAGAAACAATATTATCTCTCACATATGAAGTACAAATATTTATTAAATCATTTTGAATGGCCCAGCTAGTATGGTTAGTTGAGTTGAAAATATATTTTTTCTCAAACTCAATATGATGTTTTGAAAACAACATGCACAGCTCTTTAAAATTACCTTAAATAAGAAATTAAAATATTATACTTAATTTTTAAAGGAACACAAATCATTAAAATCACAAAGAATATTATTTATTTATCCTTACCTTTATTTAAAGCATCTTCATTTTCACGATGACCCCTAAATGGAAGTCCCTGCCGCCCAAGAAATATAACAATGTCAATTAAACATTTAATATACTGCCGATTTTTGTCAATGTGCTCCTTGTTGGCTGTTGATAATTTGGAGATGATACTACCTTGTTTTAAAGAATTTTTATATTCTAACCATCTTGACATACAATTAATGTGATTAATTGTTGAAGCGTGCAAACTTAGTTTTGATTTTTTGGTCTTTGAATCTCTTGATCCACAAAGCTATAGACGATAAAATAAAATATTGTGTTAAATATATAGAAATTATTATAATAAAATTATGCCTATAATTTTACATAGTAGGTAATTAAGTTTTCATTTTATTTTAGATTCTGGACAAAGTGAAGAATGTATTGATTTTACTATGATGAGTTTTTTTTTTTTTTTTTGTGCCTGTGTACACTATAACTATTCAAAATAATTCTTCAATTTTGAACCCCATGATGTGTTTTCGGTAGCAAATCTGATATCGGAAGTACCTTGAAGAGGTGAAAAGTGAAAATTCCCAAAAACATTCAAATGCGACGAGAAAAACAAAAAAAAAGTTATTTTTTATGTTTTAAATACATAGGTACTTCAACTTTAGACTAATTAGAATCTTAATAAGAATAGTTGTGAAACTTACTTTTTTCCAGTTCTTAAATCCTATTACAGTAAATGTATTTTCCGTTTGATGAGCAGTTCCAAAAATACGGCATGGAAAACAAAACACGCTATCTTTTCTAACACTATATTCAAGCCAATTAAACTCACTAAAGTAAGAAGGTGTAAATCCTCGATTTTGATTTCCAAATTTTGTCTTAGGATACTCCTTTTTAAACATTTTTGAAAATCTTATTTATAATATTAATATACATTTCAATTAAAAATCTACTTACCTTTAATATTGGCTGACGCGGTCCTGAATTTAAATTACCCAAATCAAGTTATTTGGGTATTAGATATTATCAATATCATTTAACTCATTTTCTTCTGCAATTATACTTTCAGTATTTACTGCAGACGAAGGCGTAGGCGTATGTTCCGGCACATTTAGTTGATCATCATTAGAGCTTTTTTTTTTATTAAAAATACTAAACATTTTATTTTTTTAACGAATTTAAATTTATATACGATTATAACTAATATAAGTAATAACATTCGTTTGAAACAACAATTATATAAAATATTACAAGATATTATGAGGTACGATACGTTACGTGCCTTTGTGAAATACTGAAAAGTGAAATGGTTAGATTGAAATGTGAAATGGTTAATTTAACTTTCTGTGTGCCGACTGTGCCGGTAATCACTAATAAGTATGAACATGATACACGAACAAACCAGTATAATATTCGTTTGGAGCTATTTAAAAATGTTTTTGGTTTTCCCAATCATATTAATAACGTGCCTAGCTATCCTCATCCTCTTTTTACGTACGTTAGACGCATGGGTAATTTTATTTAAATCTTCTTTCTAAAAATCGTGAGCCGGTTTAACATCATTAAATTATCTACTTATACCAGAAAGGTGGTCACCGACCGATCGATTTTCAGAGTGCTGTAGATCGTTTGTGATAAAAATACATGATATATTGTTTTTATAACAGAATTTGATTAGTCAAAAAGAAGTGTTACTCAAAAAATATTATAATTAATTAAACAAGAACCTAAAAACATGAATAACTTAGATCAAATGCATGATTTTTAAATTAATGAAAATAACTTCAAATATAGATCATCTACATTACATGTGTGGTTCAAGTTTTTAGAATGCGTACTACATATTTCATATGAATTAGTATCAACCACTACAAATAAAAGCACCACTGTGGAGCAAAAAATTGGTATTGCAGAAAAAAAAATGTTAGCACTATTTAGGTTTTGGTATGAATTAGGTATGAAGGTAGATAAATTTGTTCAAGGAAGGAGCACATCTAATACTGGAAATGTTGTTTATAGGTTATTTAAAAATGCGGGAAAGATGTCTGAGATAACCGGAGTTGATGTAAATTTATAAAATAGCATTTTAACGGCTATGTCTAGTAGTTTAGAAATAAACTAGAAATGATTTGACAAGTACACAATAGAAACTACTGAATTATTCGTACAATTTTATATTTGGTATCGTATGCTTCCAAGCATTCACAAAATACTAATGCATGGCTTATTATTAATACAGTATGCCCTTGTTACAATTGGTCAGTTATCGGAGGTTAAACGCACGAAACAAGGACTATATTTGATATAGAGAATATCATTCGAAACAAAATGTACGCGTCAATACTAATATACGAGTATACCTTTTAAATTATCTCTTAGTCATATCTGATCTTAAATATAAACAACATTAAGAACTATGTCTAAAAAAACTGCATTGCCACCAGACCTTATCTTTTTATTGAACATTGAAAAAACAGTTAATGGATCTGGTTCCGAATCCGATTGTAGTGGTATCAAAAATGAATATTTTAGTGATTCTGATTGATTTTTTTTTTAATCTATTTATTATATATTTACCTATATTTAATATATTAATATTGTTAATTTTTTGATTATATACATTTTGGCCAGCAAGAACTCGTATTCCTTCCACTGTGTGATACCAATGTAAACTTACATATCGGATTTTTTTTACCATAATAAAATGTAATAATAATATACATTTTTATATAAATACAGTAATGCAATAGTGTAAATGAATAGGTGCCGATCACCACGAGATTAGAACTTTGAACGTAGTTCACTTGTTGGAGAATGTTGATGACCCTTATTTGGAAAGTAATAAATAAGATAATGAAATTAAAATGTTTGAATTTGAATTAAACCGTTTAATCATTTAAAGAAGAAATAGAGTTATTTAAATTGTGTAAATGTATAATTAAAAATAGAAACTCTGTAGCAAGTGTCAATGGTGTATTTCAGGGTATCACCAATGGAGGAAGTGAGTTGCTCATAAGCAATCCTCCCCTAAAAGTTTTTTAAAAATGATTTTATGTGCACAGTTATAAGTTTTTATAAATTTAATAAGCAATAAGTTTTGTTGATGTAATTAGTATTATAAGCCGATAAAAAATAATTTATTTTGATTTTTAATTGAAAACATTGTTGTGCACGTTTTTGATCACAGGTCGACTGATTTATTAGAATATTAGAAAAGTGAAAATACATTTTGTTTTGTAAATAAAACATTGTACTTGTCCAATAGGCTATCGAACGATTGAGAACGCTATACCTTTTTGGTCGAACAATTGAGAACGAATTTCTGTGTAACGTTGTCATACTTTGCTATATCATTTATTTAGCTTTTGAAAAAATTCAGTATACATACAATAAATATTCTTGAAAAAAGTCATAAATTAATAATTATAATCGTATACAAATAAGCGCCTAATAATATGTAATATATAATATGAATAAAAAATTGTAAAAAATGTAGAACTTATAAAATTATGAAATATATTGACGAATAGTTTGTGCAACGACTGCAAAGCCTAACCGTCATTCTCTCGTATCTGGTATCTAAGTTACTATTAACATCCAGCTAATCCGATAAATATCAACAGATTATTATGCTCATATTATCAATCGATTACATTTGGTAACGTTAGAAAAAAAAATGAGCATTCTCAATCGTGTTAACAAAAATAACGTTCTCTATCATATTTTACCGGTCCTATCATATGCCCGCATAAATTATTATTATTCAATAAAATAATAAAAAAATAAAACAGAAATTAGTAATGGTTAATACTCGTAAATTCATATATTTATATAAAACGGTTGCATCCAAAGACCGCACATATTTGATTTTAACCCCAAAAAGGTTGGTAGAAAAAAACCGCACACTTTATGGATTGCCAGGTAAGTATATCGTACAGCCAAATACCACACACTTATAGTAATGGATAAAAACCTCACTAAATAATGTATAAATAATAATGTATTTTGTGTAGACGAATGTTGTATATATAATTTTAAAGTTAATTTTTACATTCAAAAGCTTATCTTATCGCACGTTGATGTGCTCGAAAAATAACCAGTACATTTGTTGACCGAAACGCATGATATAACGTAAAGTTTAAATATATAGGTATATATACATATTATAAAAAAAAAGTGTTTTTTATAAATGGATTTTAAAACTATTGATAGTAATACAGGTTGTGAGACGGGATGGTCTTAAAAGCCCAATAAACCCTAAGAAAAGAAGAAGATAGTAATAAAAAGGGCAATTTTTATTTTTTTTTATATTTTAATTTTTTGAAAAAACGTCGGCAAAAAATTTTAGCCACAAATATATTTTATATATATATTTAAATTTTATATTTTAAAATTTTCAATGCCTAGCCTATGTACATTGTACCTCAATAAATTGTTTTTAAACAAATATGTAGTATAAATAACAAATAATAAATTATATATCATTATAAAATGAGCGGTTTTTGGTTACAAGAGTTTAAAAAAGTGTGCCGTTTTTTCCTCCGTTTTTTTTTGTCTAGCTTATTTTTTTAAATGCCCATGTCAAAACTGGAACTAAATTTGAATTTAGCTGCTATTTAAACATATAAGTTGATATAAATTACATTTTGAAATTCATGTATAAATTCCCTCCTTAGTCTCCCTTCCTGTGGGTCAAATTCAAAGCCTGTGCTAAATTTGGACTTAGGATACTCGAAGCATGTAGTTTTCACATATTAAACTATATTTTTAACTAAAAATTAAAAGGTGTTCATTTTTTCCGCCTAAAATTGAATTTCAGACCATTGTATGTCAACGGTGATAGAAAAAAATGAGACTTCAATTACTTTATGCCCGAATCCAGTAGCAAATATTTGGTTTCAAAACAACGGAAAAACTTACTAATTCGTCGACCACTGCGAATGACGTACGCGTTAGCGTCATTACGGTCGAATTGCACTTATTTTAGTCGAATGTCAATTGGGTTATAAAAAGGTAATGGTCAAACTGTACTCGGGCTCAAAAAAGGTATTTCAACATATCATGCATTTGAAAGGACATTCGTAAACTTAAGATTCATAACGTTATTATTTTTTTTTACAAAAATGGGTTTTTTTTTACTAAAAACGTGTTTAGTAAAAACAGAACATTTTTGGGTAAAACTCTTGCACACGAAAAATGTTTGGCTATGTTCAACAATAATTTAACATCCATTTTTGTGCACGTATGCGTAAATGTTCATAGTGGAAACGCCTTTGTTTTTAACTCTTTTTTTTGAACGAGTGCAGTTCGACCATAATCTTTTTTCAACCCAAGTGCAATTCGACCATTTTTTTTTCTAAATATAATTGCAATTTTAAATTTTAATTATATCGTTTACCTTTATAAATATATTCGTTAATGTACAATGAAATGTTTATTTTATTTATTAACTAGTACAATCATTATACTTGAATTTTGAAATGGTGAGGGCGTGACCTCTTACAATAAAAAATAATATAAAATAATAATAATAAGAAAAAGGACATAGACTTTAAGAGGTTGAGAACCAGTGCAGTAGATAGTATTGTTGTACGTCAGCCTGTACTACGCAAGTTTTCGATATCTGTATCCATGAGTTATATGAACAACATTAAAAAAAAAAAAAAATAATTTGTATGAATCGTCATTTCGGCAGCGCCGAACAAACCTCGATTTCATTTCACGTTACAAATACAAGATCGAAGATCGATATTTAATTATTTTTAAATTAATACAATTATAACTATGAAAATATTATAACTTTTCCAACAAATATGATGATCTAAATTCGTACGATGACACATAACAATTGCCGAAACGAATAATCAATCGTAATAAATTAAATCTTTAATACGTCGATTGA